CATATAAGTTCTTTGGTTAATCTCTTCCCACTCCCCTCCCCCCTTCCCTCTGAGATTCCTTAGTCTGTTCCATGCTTCCATGTCTCTGGATCTATTTTGTTCGTCAGTTTATTTTGTTCATTGGATTCCACATATAAATGAGATCATGTGATACTTGTAAAATTAACCATTATTTTAAATAAAAACAGTCATATACATAATTTACAAGTAGTTGATAACATCCAAATGTAATCACTTATGTAAAACTAGATTGGAAACTATAAAATATATTAAAGTATATTTGTTATTATTAAGCTAAAATTTTGATAACTGTTTGAAAATATTAATTATTCTAAAACACTCACCCATTTGCATGTTCCTTTCCTCTTCTCTAAGCATTAAAAGAGAAATACTTCCCTTGGTAAAATCACTCTGTCAAGATGTAGAATATGAAGTTCGATCTTGTATGTGTCGGCAGTTAGAAAATATAGCTCAGGGCATTGGGTAAGTATGCTTTCAATTTCTTATGTCATATTCTTATTTCTGGATAGTCAAGCATTCATATCCTATTTCTGTTTTCCATGGAAGCATGCTAATGAAAGGCGAAACTTTATATTATCTTTAAGAATGCTTGTAACAAGGAGTACCTCCTCATGTGTCTGTTTAAAATAAATAAAAGTGAAAATGCTTAGCAATATGGCAGGCATTCAATTAATGTTAATGTCTTTCCTTCTCACTTTAAGTTACTTAGTTATCATTCCAAATGCCTAAATCTAGGAAGGGAAAATGTTCCAATATAAACTAAGCAAAAAACAAAAGCATGGACAGAGGACAAGAACCAACCATCAGCCCCATCATATCTGAATTCTACAACCTGCCCCAGCAAAGGCAAACATGGATCTGCTTTGCTGAAGTTGCTTAAACTGGAAAACTATATTATAATTTGTAGTTTTAATGTAAACTAGTATTAAGATCTCTGTAGGTAATATTGTGTTGGGGGAACTCAAATTGAATTTAAATAATTTTGCAGTTACTATTAATGTTTCTTATGTTTATATCAAGCTTTCCCAGCCAGACTGCAACTTTCTGGAAAGCAGGAGCCGTATCTTTATGATTTTTCCTATTTTCTATAGCATCTAACCTAGTGACTTGTTTTTAGTAAGTTCTTGCTACAAATTTATTGATTGGATTTATTTTCTTCCATTGCTTATTGTGCAGGACAGACCTTACAAAAAGCGTGGTGCTCCCTGAATTGATAGAACTCTCTAGGGATGAAGGCTGCAGTGTGCGGCTTGCAGCATTTGAAACTTTGGTTAATCTGCTCGACATATTTGATACAGGTAAATCTCCATGTGGACACATCTTTGCTTCTGAAAGCAGTTTTTTCCCCTATGTTTTGTATCACTAGTAAGAAGTAAAGGTAGATGCAGGACAGAATTTCTTATGTTAAGTTTCATATGAATGTTAAACTTCCCTTTCTCTCTCTCTTTTTTGGTCCTTCCTCTCTGCTGCCACTTTTACCCTCATGGCACCCGCTGTTACTACATGTTCCACACCTCTCTTTCTCTCATCAAAATTTGTATAGGACTTATGTATAGGACTAGCAATTTGGCTTGGTCATTAGCCTTTAATTTGCTCAGCTAATTGACCCTTTAATCAAGAAAGAGCTTGATTAAAGCAATATTTAAATTAGTTTCCTCCCCTTAATATTTTAGAGCTAGAAATCTCATGACCCACAGGAGGAGAGAACTGGGTGGAGTATTTAGATGGGAATGGGTAAAGAAGTATTTCTTAGTGTTGTGCAAATTAAATCACAAAGACAATTAGCTTCTCTCCTGAGTGTATGACTAGATTCTTGACTAATGCTGGACTTTAGTTTATCAGTGAACATTAACTATTTTGATAGGATGAAATTTGGAGGGGTAAAATGTCAAATATTCAGCTGCAAAACTCTATTGTGTAATTGTAGTATTACATATACTTGGATTAACAAAATTCACCTGAACTTGGAGAGCTTCTTAAAGATTATTACAATGTATGAATGTTATGGAATAATCATTTAGGCTGTATGATGAACCAGAGACGTAAAAACTGCAAAGCACTTTGCTGAATGACTGAATAAATGAAGCTCCTTGTCCTAATAATCGGGCACCCCGAGGTATCTAAGCTAGAAACTTGGTATGGTCTTTGCTCTCTTCCCCTTCTCTGCCCCACCCTTCGGTATGGGCAGTTTGGGCCTACCCTGTGTTCATGCCTTTATTTCCTCCCTTTCTTCCTCACCCCTCCACATCTGATGCTCCAGCCCTGCTTGCCATCGTCTTGGCATACCAGACTCTTTCACACCTTGAGGCTTTCCACATGCTCTTTCTCCCTTATTTTTTCTCCCTCCCCTCTATTTTTCTCCTAGCCCACTTCTCCTTCTTCCTTGCCCAGTTCTAATATATTTTCCCCTCTGACATCTTTCCAAATCCCTTATACCAGGGGTTGGCAAATGATGGCCTATAGGCCAGGTCCCGTTGCCACCTGGTTTTGTAAACGAGGTTTATTGGAGCATAGCCATGCCCTGTTGTTTAGGTTTTCTCTGTAGCTGTTTTTGTGCTACAGTGGTAGAGTTGAGTAGTTTCGACAGATAACTGCAAAGCTTAGGAAGTTTACAAAAAAGTTTACAGACCCCTGTGCTATACCAACTATGCAAACGTGATCCCATTGTCTTATGAGATTTTTTGTTTTGGGCTTCTTTGCTGCTCTGAGTTTCTCAAGTTCAGAGGTTGTTTATGTTTCATCTTTGTACTTAATATAATGTTTGTTCTGTAAGAAATTGAATAAGTGTTTGTCTAAAGAATGTCTAAAGAACTACTATTTAGTTAAAATAGTAGGTGTGGTACTGAAATGTGATTATAATAACAGTAATAATAATACTAATAAGCCTGTCACAGCACTTTACTTAGTATTGTCAGACCGTTAATAAAATAGTGATTCATTTACAAAAGTTTAAGAGAACTATGGGAAATTCAGAGAGTATTTAGAATCAAGACTTAAATATTACTAATATATCAGAAACTTTTGATTTAAGCAGGCATACTAAAATAATTAACTTTTTAAAGAAGGGTTATCTAGGAAGCGAAAGTGAAGAAATTCACCATATAGAACGTATTATAAGCTAACTTAATTTCAATAAAAAAAGTGTAGAATATTATGAGATGGATGCAAGAGAGAGTCAGAAAGGTTTTCTGTGCCTGCCTCTCATTTATTGGTATTAGTGGTGTTAGAATTCTTTTAGTTATGCAGGCTCAAAACCTCAGTCATCTTAGCTTTTTAACCCTATGGCCCACAATATACAGTTCAACCCCCTCAGCGTGGCTTTAAAGTTTTGGATAATTTCAACTCTCCTCTGACTCTTTCTTTACTATACACCTCCATCATCACTGTTTTCAGATATTCCTATTTCTGTGTGGCTAACGTAGTAAGATTTCTTTCTGGAATTTGTGTAGATGTATTAGTTTCCAAATGTGCAGTGTGGGCAATGGATCTAAAGTATGTTTTGTTTTGTTCTGTTTTCCAGATGATAGAAGTCAAACTATACTTCCCTTAGTGAAATCATTTTGTGAAAAGTCTTTCAAAGCAGATGAATCAATTCTTATTTCCTTATCTTTCCATTTAGGAAAACTATGCCATGGACTATACGGTATGATGTATCCTAAGAATTTCAAGATTATAGATAATTTTTTCCTTTTTCTTCTACCTTAGTCACTAAACTTCAGCTATTTAGTTGTAAAATCTTTAAGTGTGTAAAATCTTTGGAGATCTTAGAATTTTGGTAGCATAATTTAAACAAATTTTGGGATGACTTTTTTACTAATGGAACCCATAAAGAACAATGACAGAGTAAAGTAGGGATAACCCTTTAAATTTATGAACTTTTTATGTGTCAGTTGGTATATGATAGAAGAAGCTCTGTATATTAACTATTGGTACATCATAAATATACCCCTATTAATAATTTGTTGAATAATTAATATATAATATGAGAGTTTCAGCTCAGAATGTAGTATAACATCTATAACTCTTGGCATTTTGAATATATTACTCAGTTCTTAGCTTACTGTAATGTAAGCATCAACTAAGTTATAACCATCTAGCATAATAAAACATTTTTTTGTGGATTGTACACTTTTAATGGGTGGTTGAAAAACATATTGAAATTTATAAAGAGTTCCTAGCTCCCTAAGATAGTTAATGAATGTGGAACCAGTCTATTGATCAAAAATATTTTGAATTTACTTTGCCATTTTTCAGATTCAGTTTTCAAGCTCCTCTGCAGACACATGTCTTTTCAGCAGGCAATTTAGAGTATTTACCATAAGTAAATAGCAATGATGGCTACACTATTATTATTATAGTGACATATGCTGTAGAAATTAATGCAGGCATAATTCTTGCATTGCATAGTTTATACTATTAAAATATTATTAAAATTAATAAGGTAAAACAGTACACCCTTTAGATTTCTTAATAATAATAACTCTTTCCTCTTTCTTGCTATTATTTATGATCTCTAACCATTTATTTAAATATTTGGTTCTCATTATGTTTTTATTGTACTTTGCTTTTGTCTTTTGCTTTGTTTTCAATTAAAATGTTGAACAAATGTTTTAAATTTCTCTAGGAATTTTTACTCCAGATCAACACTTGAGATTTTTGGAGTTTTATAAGAAACTTTGTACATTAGGTTTGCAACAAGAAAATGGACACAATGAAAACCAGGTTCCACCCCAAATCCTAGAGCAGGAGAAGAAATATATATCAGTACGGAAGAACTGTGCTTATAACTTACCGGTATTAAATTATATATTTGTATTGATTAAACATTTTGATTATTACTTAAAATTATGTGAATAGATAGTATTAAAAATATTGCTGTATTTTACACCTGCTGTTTAGCATTATGTCTGGTATATATAGTAGGTGCCTAGTAAATATTGGTGTAATTTACATTGACCTCTATGTATAAATTAGAATTACATGCGTACATTTGGATCTTCCAAATATAATTTTTTTCTGTGATTTTGTTTTTATCTTCAGCTTATGATCACATAATTTACAATTTTGTGCTGATGATCTCTTCTCCTCTACTTTAATCCTTCTAGTGAGCTGGCAAAAGCACCAATACCAATCACACATATATAGCAATTCTACAGTTGCTTTTGAAGAGCTGTTTAAGACAGTCTTGAATTATAACTTAGTCTGACTTGAAGAATTCACAAAGTTTGCTACTTTATCTTGTCATGCTGAATTTTAAAAGCATCTGACCTTATAGATCCTCTATAAAATGTGAGGTGTTAAATATTCTTTATTTGGTATTATACACAAACTACACTACAATGCCTTTCATTCAGTAAAAGGCAACAGTTTAGATATAGGGAATTTTAATTAAATTGGCATAGTTAAGACCAAAAAGATAAAATGGACACTGCCAGCTTATCTTCAGACCTTGCCTTTTAACAGGCTAATGAACACAACTTGAAACACAAGTCAGTCTTCCTGTTCTAAGAGACAGTGAAGGGATTTCCTCAGTATTTAAACATATTAATACAACCAATTCTATAAATCTAAATGTAAAACCAAGCTCCTACAGGTTTTGAGATGGCACTCATCATCTCTGTGAAAAGTTGAACCTTACGAATCAAGACCAATCTTATTTTTAGAAGGGGAAATCAGTGATATTAACATCAAAGTTCAAAAAGCTGACCATGTTCCTTTAACCACAAGCCAATCTATTTAAATCACTACTGCCCAAAAGAAATGCTCTGTCAGCCGGTCATTCATGATCTGAATTCTGGTGTATGAGATCAATTTAAATATGGTACACATAAAAAAAGTCATGAGACATTTGTAATAAATAAGGCAGTGGCCAACTATTACTCATTAGTGGCTTTTTTTGAGATAAGCTATTAATTCTGCCCTTTCTGCACTCTTCTTAATGCCAACGAAGATCATTTTTGTTCCAGGGATGTACTTGGGATTCTCCAGATACTCCATCAGTGTAGCCTCTCCCCAGGTGATGTCTTTGTTCTTGTTGGCATCGGTGTAAGAAAATCCAGGGCCCTGACCTGTCTTTTGCCCAAACAGACCATGGAAATTTGGCCCAGTCTTGTGCTTGCCTCCCTTTTCCACAGTATGGCACTGGGCGCACTTCTGAACAAAAATCTTCTTGCCTTTCTCAACATCACCCATTTTTAAATCGCTCTTTCATTGCGCTCCACACGAAGGCCCCCACTCTCAAGCTGGACTTCTCGCTCCCAAATATAATTTTTAACTAAATTATAATTTAGAGGACATGATTTCAATTTAAGTGAAATGATTATGATATTATGTATTGATGCATGTGTTTCTCTCCCCACTCATCTTCTCCTTTCCACCTCCACCAGGCCATGATTGTTTTTGTCGATCCTAAAAACTTCCACATGGAACTCTATTCTACATTCTTCTGCCTTTGTCATGACCCTGAAGTACCAGTCAGATACACTATTGCCATTTGCTTTTATGAAGTAAGTCTGAAGAAGTGATACATTTGTTGTTAATTCTATCTGTGTGCACTAGATGATTATTTGGTATTTTGTACAGTTCTGTTTATAGATGTATTATAAAATATAGGCTCTATATCTCTTTCACAGTCTAGTCCTAAATCTTATTTTAAAATTTTCTTAATTCTCTTTTTAAACTTTTATAGAATTTACATAAATATTACATTTTTATCATTTATTAATCCATTCATTCAATGTATTTATACTAAATGCTTACTTTAAACCAACATTGTGGTGTGGGTGTGGATGTGGGTGTTGCAGATTTGGAAATAAAGTCAGTTTTTATATGCTTTACAATATTTACATTTTACTTTGTACCTAAACTTAAGAACTTAAGAAGAGTGGAAAATTGAGAGATTGTTTAAATTGATTAGTTTTACTGCAAATGTATCATGTTTCATGAGTATAACTTTTAGATTCAGCTATTACAACAACTCTCCATAATATAAGAGCAAAAGTGAATTGAAACTTTTATGGATTTAATTACCCTTTAACCCTCGATGTTGAAATTTGGGGCATGTTTCTTGAATAATTGCAGTAGATGTGTAAACTATAACTTGTCAACTTCAAAACTGTAACATAAAACCTCCTTATAAGTGCATAATAAACTGTTTCCTTTCTTTATTAGAGGTATAATAAGTATTCTTATCCTCAGTAAGACTATTTCACCCCCTTCCTTGCACTATGTTCCTACATCAAGCATTGTTAGATTAACTTCCTTTGAATAACATTTTTTTTTCTGGTATGAATGAAATGTTCATTGTGCAAAATCTAGTAAATATTCCCTTTAAATGGTATAATTAAGTAAAGTAATTCCACTGTTGCACAGTTAAATCATCTTTGTAAATATACGTATAGAAATATGCTTTTGGAGGAGGAGAGAGGGCGGAGAGCACTGGCCAGCTGAGAGAAATATTGTCTCTAATATGCACTAAGGGGGTATTTAGGTGTGGTTACCACGCCTGCTTATATTTTTCTAGTAGTCTCCAGAGATGGTTGCATGAGATTAGAGCCTGAGAATGCAATATTTATGTAAAACGAGAGCTTCTGATTATGTTGATTTATTTATTTTTATTCTATATTTTAATTTTTTTCCATCACCGTTTATCCCCCTATACTATCCACCTCTACCCTCCACCTCCCACAATCACCACACTGTTGTCCCTGAATTCTTTCTCTTTAATTATGTTTATTTATCTCATCCCCTTAATATTTCATTTTTATTTATGTTTTAAAGTGGACATAATATGTGAACACCATAAAAATAAACATACTGAAATGTGTATACAAAAATATTTCACTGATAGGAATGAGCTTGGAAAGCATTAGTAGTTATTTGCTGGGTGGCTAGTTTCCTTATTTTCACACTCATGCCATATAGGTAGGTGAATACTGATACACTGCTATAGTCTACTGGTGGATTTAAATTTCCCTAACTGTTATTGCTAGATTCTGATCATTACTTTAGTATGTTCTGACTTTATTCTTGTTTTTATTATTTTGAAAATATTTTCAACAAGTCAAAAAACCACCCTGTATAAAGGTTTTAAAACATTTTCTTTATCAGGAACTCTTTTTTTCCCCCCAAACAAAACTTTACTCAGAAGCCCAGTATGTAAAAATAAATAAATAAATACAGGTGAAGAGCAAACCGGTGTATCTACCATTGTTTTTGTCTGGAAGGAAAAACAAACCTGTTCACAAAGGAGCTGGATTAGTCTAGACTCTCCCAATGCCTCTCATGCTGACTGAGGTCTACGATGGGAAAAGTCTGCTATGTTTTGCTTGCTCAGGCGTTATCTCCACCCCTGTGCCACTGTAGGCCTTCAGTAGCACTTGCCTCTTTCAGAAGCTCTGAACCAGGGTGAATGCTCAGATGCCTAAGATGTCCTGTAAGACCCTGAAGGCTGTTCCAAGACTTCCCAACATGCACTAGAGGCACCAATGGGCTTATTATTGCTGTGATATCAAAGTTACAACTCTAATAAATTCATTTTTCTGCACTTCTAATGCCATATGTTCATTTCCTCCCCCCCATATGTCTGTACACTTCAGCATGTTATGAAGCAGACTATAAAGCTAGTTATGTATGCAATTAATTTTTCTAGAAATATTAATTTTATATTTATGTTTTAACCTAGTCTCATCTTAGAAGAAATATCTAACAGGGATGTGTTTTGAAGAATTACTATTATAACCTTTATATGTCTAGTAGAGTCAAATCTGAGAGACTTTATTGCTACATTTTAGGTGTCTAAACTTCTGAATTCTGGAGTATATTTAATACATAAAGAACTAATAACATTATTGCAAGATGAGTCACTGGAGGTAATATCTTCTTACTCTTTGTTTTTTCCTTCTTTTTATGTTAAGTTTGAATACATCAGTGCCTTTCCCCCTGCTTCTCTGAATTGCATGAACTCTTTCAGCTGACCAGCCCCAGAAGCTTGAAGTCCATTTATCACTATTTCATAGACTGGAAGTAGGGAAAGACTTTTGAAAAGATTAGGTTTTAAAATATGTTCAGTTTTAAAATATATATAGGTATATATATTTGTTCAGGAAAATTTTGGAAATGCCAAAAAGTAGATTGACTTTTAAAAGAGTGAGTACCTTTAATTCCAGTCACTATTACTATTTTGTTAAATTTTTTCATTTTCTATTTTTTCTATATAAAGGTTTTTATTTTACACAATTGTAATCATGTTATATCACATTTTATATCTTTTTTTCTCTTAGCATTGTTTTTTGGAGTGTACTTGTGAAGGCTTTTTTTTTTTTTTTAATATATCTTTATTGATTTCAGAGAGAGGAAGGTACAGGGAGAGGGAGAGACAGAAACACCAATGATGAGAGAGTCATTGACCGGCTGCCTTCTGCACGACCCCCACTGGGGGTCAAGCCCACAACCCAGGCATGTGCCCTGATTGGAATTGAACCCTGATCTCCTGGATCCTAGGTTGATGCTCAACCGCTGAGCCCTGCCTGCCGGGCTACTTGTGAAGGCTTTGAAATACTTAATTTTGATGCTATAGTTAGTATATTCTCTCCACCTACATGACTACCAGCTTGTTAAAGTGCAGCTCATCACCACTTAGACATCACTAAGGGTGCTTTTCAAAACTGTTTGAGCACGTTGGTTGATGTGTAGAAATAGCTGTCTCAGATCTAGACCATTTGAACACATCAAGAGACAGATACGCTAATCTCTTGATAGTTTGATAGTTTGATAGTAATAGGTACTGGTACTGTGATCAAGACAGTTGATCATGTCTGTAAGACTCTTCAGCAAAAAGATGTAAGAAAAGTAGGAAAATAGAAACCTCTAAAATGTTGTTTGGTAAATAACACTATTTCTGTATAGGAATTGACATGTGAAGTTAACTAATCTAAGGTTAGAAAAACATTGTACTTGCCACAAAGTAATCAATATCTCTATTAAAAGGTACTGGATGCTCTTATAGATCATCTTCCAGAAATCCTAGAACTTATGTCTACTGGTGGAGAAAGCAATATTCAAGAAAATAAGGTAATCCCCATATATCAAAAAGTTTCTGAATGTTGTAAAATATTACCTTTCTCTACAGAGTTGTGAGGAATCAATGAAAGGCTGCATGGGAAACATTTAAAATGCCACGTAGTAGGTGCTCAGTAAATGTCAAAGTTTGAACAGTTTGAATTTCCTCTACAGTTCTTATACTATGATTTTTATTTATTGTCCTTGGAGTTTACATTCTTATTTTCAGTTTTTATTCACATTAATTATTATTCCAAGAGTAACGACTGATAAGGACAAAAGAGTAGGAATTTAGAAAGTCAAAGTTTGCTGACAGTGAAATAGAATAAATTTTACTTTAATTAGAAGAGTTGTAAGAGTCCCAGTCTCTGTTTCAAAATTTTGTTTCCAGTAATTAATAAATTTTACTTATGGATTTTTAAAAAGTATTTTATTTAATCAGATTATTACCTCCCTGTAACAACTGAGATGCCTCCTAAGTTCTAAAGTGAACAAGAGCATTTCTTTCCCTGATGTATTGTTAGCTGAATAATCTGGCTGAGCCCTGCCACTGATTCATTTATCGTTGATTCTTTTGGTGTGTTTTCTTTTTCAGTTATCTTCTCTGCCCGACTTGATTCCAGCACTCACAGCCGCTGAACAGCGAGCTGCAGCCTCTTTAAAATGGAGAACCCACGAGAAGCTGCTACAGAAATATGCCTGCCTGCCTCACGTCATATCAAGTGATCAGATTTATTATCGGTTCTTACAAAGAATGTTCACGATCATGATGACAAATGTGAGCCCCAAACCCTTTATCTTATTCTTTGAACTCACACCTGAGTTTGGAATTACTGCCAAATTTTTTACGTTCTTGAAATAGTACATCAAACTCAGTTCACTGCATTCTGCCCAGAAAGATGTTTTCTTGCCGGGTCCCTGAGGAGCCATTGATCGGCTGCCTCCTGCATGCCCCCACTGGGGGTCGAGCCTGCAACCTGGGCCCGTGCCCTGACCAGCAATGCAACTGCTATGACCTAGATCATAGGTCGATGCTCAACTGCTGAGCCATGCCAGCCAGGCTGAAAAAATTTTAAAGATACAAAAAGGGCAGAAAAAAATACTATAAAGAACCCTCATATGCCCATCACCTAGATTGAACTATTGTTAACATTTTGTCATGCAAGTGCTCCTCAGCTTATATCCCAATGAACCCGTCGTAACTTGAAAATATAAGTAAAAAATGCATTTAATACACCCAACCTACCAAGTGTCATAGCTTAGCCTACCTTAAATGTGCTCAGAGCACTTAGATTATCCTACAGTTGGGCAAAATC